CCATAGGCCCTCCGAGCTGCTGGGCCCCAGAAGGCGTTCACCGTTGCCCCCTCGGCCGTGCTGCTGAAAACCTCAACATGCAATACATCTTATGCTCATACATGAATGCCCAGGCATTATATTATTAATTTTTTAACCTGCTTGATTAATAGACACACCTTTTGTATGAATCAAACTAAAGAAAGCCTGGTTTGACCAAGTTTTACAAGACATTACATTTTGAATTTGAGCTTTTTCTTTTCTAGTACACCTACATTTCTGATCTCATCAGATTTCAGTTAAATCCTTTATGGATCTTTCCATCAGTCAGTAACCTGTAACCAATCTTCATGTATGTAATTGAATTTGTGACATATTTGTATTTTTCATTATGTAAATGTTAAACTGTTCAATGCATTTTCAACTGCATGTTTAGTATCACCATTTTTGCTTGACAATTATTTCCACTTCCTGCTCTTTGTTATTTTATGTTTGCCCTGTCTGTTTCTGTGGTGATCCAGTGTCCACACATAAAGCAATACATTTTTATATTATATGATTTCATTTAATTTGACACAGTTTCACTGGACAAACATAAGGACAAAATGCACAAGCAAAAGCTCTAAGTAGTCTCAATCCTAAAACTTCTGTTAGGACATTAATGTTTTTTGCATGTCTTGTGGAAAATTACACAGAAAGTGGACTCGTGGGGGTGTGGGTCATCCATTGTTTTGTGTGTTAAAGACGGGACAACCCCTGCAGATAAATCAGCAGGCGGCCTTGGGGGGAGGGGAGCACTTCTTGTGAATTTCGAGTTGAAAGAGTATTGGCATCTGGCCATCCACTCTGCCAACTATTCAAGTAATGGAAGTGTGGACTGTTTGAACTTTGGTGAAACTGAGCAGAATTGTTTGTGGCCGGAACAGTTTGTGAGCCAAAATGCCAAAGCTACTCTTAGGTAATTAATAAAAATCACCACTTGGTTCCCTCCAAGTTATATAGACGAGTAGACGCACAATTTACGTCAAAGAAACATTTTACCTTTGCTGGATGCTTATGCAAAAGAAAAGTGCAAAGAGTCTTAATACAGATTCTGCCCACAATCCAAGTAGGTCAAGTATGACTGTGGAAGAACATGTGTGGCACCACCTTTTCCCGCCAGGTGGTTATAATCTGTAATGCTGTAATGTGGAAATTACTGCAGAACAGATGTCTGTGCTTTAATCCACATTTACAGAGTTGTTATTTGTAGAAGCAGGCCATAAACACATTTCAGATGCTGAATCATTGTTTTCCATCGAACTTTACTTCCCTTTTTAATTCTTTTCACCCTTATGAACCCCACTGCACTGCAAAAAAACAACACACTTCCACCTGCTCTATCTAGCTACTGTCTGAAAGAAACAAAGGCAGTTTCTGTGCCGCATCAGTACAGTCAAATCTGTGTCACTGTGTCATGCGTAATGGCATAACCAATCACGGCACAGGTAAGCACGAGAGGCTGAGGGAGATCTAGCATCAGCCCAATCACACCAGAGCACTTAGCCAATTAGGATGCTTCTGGTCAGGGCATAGCATCTGTCTGTATGAAAATACCAAACGGTCTGAATGTGTGAATGTGGATGCAAACATGCAGCAGCTTGTTATTCTCAGCCCCTGCAGACATACACATGTGTTTTCGAGAGCTAATGTGAGCATGTGTGTACAGCTTCCCCTTGTGTGCAAATTCATGCGAGGGTGAACATTGCGTGCATGTGTGGGAGAAGGATCTCCAAGAAACGTTAAAGATTTCTTTATTGAGGAAACCATATTCACATAAACAGCAACATTTTTGTCGCAATTATTACATAGGGTATTCAAAACCCCTTCAGATAAGCTCAAACTCATCCTGTTGTCTCTTTTTCTCCTTAATAGGATTATACATACTTCTTGGCAAGAAATGAGCCATGAGACAAATTTGTCCTCAATCGACATTTTCAACCCATCTCTTGCAGTTTTCTTATGCAGTATTTTGCACCAAGCACCAAGCTGCAGCTTCATTTCTAAGCTGTTTTGCAAATTTCCTCATTCCCTCATCCTTGCTAAGGCATGGCTTTAATGCAGTGTTCCCTTGTTCTGTTACACATTGTAGAAAGAAGAGCCAGTACTGGTTTGAACTAGTATGATGTGTTACACAACAACACAGCACAAGTGAGGAGAATCACTCTGTACATGCACTGACAGCAAAGCCATAACCTTTAACAATGATAAATACTCAGTGTACATGCTTTTTTTTCTTGCTTCTATTTCATGTTAAAGTACCAAAATGGCAGTTGTTATTTTTAATAAAATACAAAAAATCTGTACAAAGTTGGAGGGCATTTGCATCGCCTGACGCCACAGTGCGAGTGCATGCTAACTGACGAGCATGTTAACGTTGTGTTTGGCTGGGGGGGTTATTGTGCAGCTTCATTTATGAGACCCCATTTCATGTTTTTTTTTTCTTCCTTACATAACGCGGGTTTTTTTCTCTCTCCCACTCCACACAAGAACCACCACGTTCCAGCCTGTACATTCCGGTGGTTGTCATAGCAACAGGGCAGCATCCCTCTCCATCCTTTGTCCAGTGTCTCCCCTTCGTTTGAGCTTCCCAGGCGGAAGATGGTTTGGATTCTGCATGCAAATTGACCCCCCCTCCTAATTGAGCTTCGAAGCGAGGAAGTGGAAGGGACTTTAAATGGTGACTGAATGTCATTAGGTGCTTTTCACAGATCGTAACGAGGTGGTAAACTCCCCACATCCTGCAGGAGCATTACAACACTCATGTGTAAAATAAGAGGGAGAGAACACCCAATCAAGACCTGCATACAACGGATCCTCACAATTTCCTGTTAAATATACAGACTGAAACTCAGTTAGAGGTAAATGACATGCACTTTCATTCAAATATTTCCTTTTGGTTATGTTTTGACTCTCCACATATCCACTGGTATATAAAAAAAACAATTGGCACAGGTGGAATCAGTGAGTGGGTTGGGAAAGGGAACACTGTGTCCCTGTATGCGTCTGGGAATGTTGGAAGTTTTGCTGGGAATAATGATAATAATAATGGAATGTAATTCAGTGTGTGTGGGCCAGTTTAATTCCCCTGTAATTGTGTGTAGCAGTCAGTGGATGAAGTTTCTGGAAATGGGTCTGTGTCATCTTTACAAGGGTCTCAGTGTTGTTTTTGTTTTTGTTGCATGTGTGTGGGAGGGAGTTTAACTTAGCATTTTCTCCACTATTTTTCTAACTGTACTACACAACGGTTTCTGCAGAAATAGAAGTATGCTAGATAAGCCTCATGCTGTTGCATGATACTTTTTAAGCTGTTCTACAAACTTTGCACTCTGCACAACAGGGTTTTTACTTGAAAATCTAAAGCTAACTCTAGGAAACCTGCAACAGTATGCACAAAACAAAGTGTTAAGTTCAGAGACTTTGCAGATTTGGGCAGAAAAAAAAAACACCAAAACAAAGTCAGAGTACACGCGTTGGCTTCAGGCCAGTCAACATCCTCTGAAACAGCTCTGAACCTGCCCTTCGACTTTATGATTGGTTAACTTGTTCCTGGCAAAGCCAATCAGTGAGCTGACTAACGTTCTGTTGTGAGGGCAGTTGGGATGTAGGGGAAAGGTCTCAAAGCAAACTTTATTGCCCTTCCCCCAAGTGCAGAGAGTGCACCAGAACAAAATGTTTATGTCTCGTTAGATGAGGATGTTGTGTGCTTCTTGTGAAGTAAGGTTAGAATGTCTCCTTGTCAGTAGGGAAACAAATAACTTCACTGAGTTTATATCTGTGAAGTTCTCACTCACAGCTCATGTGTAAACTCTGATGAAACAATAACATCATGTGCAATACACTTGGGTATTTAGAAAATACTTACATTAGCATTTTACAGTTAAACTTCGCCCGTATTTGGATACGGGTCAAAAGTAAAAATTATATATTTTGTCATATTTTCTTTTTGGAAGAAACTGAACAAACTCCAGAGGTCCCATGCAACTGTAAGCCTACTGAAATAAATCTGATGTGTCAACCTGCCTGTCTGGTTTGTTTTTGAGGGTAATAACAGGATTCAAACAAGATAAGTCTAGTTCTCAGCCACAAGGTGCTGTGCAGTTTATGACACAGCACTTCTGTGAATATTTGCCTCAGGCTGTTGGGAGTGAAGGAGGATAATAATTGTCTCGTGAGTGCACCAGTTTCCAGTTACTTCCCACAGGGTCCCAAAAACCAGCCAGAACAAAGCTGCCGTTGAGCTCCTGCCAAGATATCAGCTAGACTGAAACACAACCAGAGAGCCTTTACTAGAGTTACCTTTAGGTGCACTTCATTTTACTGCTATGTTTACAGCAAACTGCTGTTTCACCAGCTGTTTAAACAGCTTTTGCAAACGTTAGCATTTATATTTTAGACAGGAGACCAGCCTCAGCTGTTTATACAGCCAACGGTGTTCACAAGATGACCAGATTAGTGTGTAAGAAATTAGCAAGAGTTTTATGGGTGTCTGCTCTATTACCAATTCATGTGTTGAAAAAGCTTTAAGCTCCAGACTCCAGTCTACTCATGGCTAGACCAATGAATATCTGATTCGTTAACACTAGAGAAGCGGAGGGCAGTCCTATCCTGTTTCTTTTAGCAATACTGAGACATTTTAGGTAATCAGCTGCCTTGCAGAGTTAGCAGAGGTCACCACTTATCTGTCCAGTACATAAAGCTACAGCCAGAAGTCAGTTAGCTTAGCATAACATCTGCAAAATGGGGAACACAGCTAGTAACAAAATTTGTCACCAATGTGGTAATCAGTAAGTATTAGATTTGTTTGCATTGGACAAAGCCTGGCTTGCAGTTTCTGGTCTTTATGCGAAGTGGCTGCTAGCAGTAGCCTTATGTTTCAAAGAGTGGTATTGACCTTCTCCTTGGACTCTGCAAGAAAGGAGTAAACATATTTCCCCAAAAACTAACTACTTAAGCCTCCAAGACAAGAGTCATACACCATCTTGTGATAAAAATAAAAGTTTTAAATGCATCAATAAAACACCAGGTTCAGTAAACATGTTTTACCAAATCAGGTGCATTACAATATCGCAGTTAACAAAAGGATAAAACTCCTTGAGGAAATCTACAAATGGCATTATGGACAGATCAACCACATTGAACAACATAAGTCTGGGTACAGACATCTACAAAGTGTACCATACAAGTTGACCCAGTGTGCCAAAATCTGAAGACATCAAACGTTGCCATTTAAAAAATAGACACTTCATAAAAATCAAAGATTAGTAACATTGAAGACTGGATAGTTGAAAAGGCAGGTCAACATATATTAACAGTACATGAACTAGTCAGATTTATTAAGTTACACATGCTGCCCAGCCTTAGCAGCTCTACTCTTCAGTGTCTGTGTGCTTTAGTTCATTTTAGTCACCAACAGACAAGGGAAAGATATGACATGGGCTATAAAACAGTGTTACAAAAGCCAATCCCTTCCAAAGACGAGGGGAAGGACATACCCTGCCATTACCAGCTCATAACTACCAAAGATATTACCGTGTCATGTTTTAAGTTGACCAGCCAACTTTAAACCATTAAAATGCAGGTTAAAATCATCTGAGTGGGAGAAGAAAAAAATAAAATACAGTACTATTTTAAAGAAAAGATAAGGTCAGGAGGGCAGTGGGAGTCAGTCTATGAGTGGTGATTTAGTAATCCGTAGGTTCATCTCCCTCCTCACTCAGCAAACAGGTGCGGATCAGGGCCTCTGTCACGCCGTACGGGTCGCAGTTGGCAGATGGGCGGCGGTCCTCGAAGTAGCCCTTCTTCTCCTGGCCGACGTTGCGAGGAATGCGGATGCTGGCACCACGGTTGGCCACGCCTGCAGAGAATTCGTTGATGTTTGAGGTTTCATGGTGGCCGGTGAGACGGCGGGCATTGTCGAGCCCCCCTTTGGGGTCATAGGCACGGATGTGATAACTGTGCCTCTTCCCAAGCTTCTCAATGGAATCCTCAATGGCTCTGAAAGCAGAAATGACAAGAGTCCCCATCAGAAATGTAAAACTCATTCATGAAAAATGCTACATTAGTCGAGCAATCAGTCAACCCCATGATGCTTTTGACACTCACTTCAATCCACCATCTTCCCTCATCTCCTTTGTGCTAAAGTTTGTATGGCAGCCAGCACCGTTCCAGTTGCCAGGGATTGGTTTGGGGTCAAATGAGGCAACAACGCCAAAATCTTCACAGACACGGTGCAGGAGGAAACGTGCCACCCAGAGATGATCACCCATGTTGATCCCTTCACAAGGTCCAACCTGGAACTCCCACTGAAAACAAAAAAAACAATCATAAGTTACATCTCAAACGGGCTATTAAAAACCATAAAAACCTGTGCAAAGTCCAGACAGGGATTATGTTTAGTATCATTACCTGAGCTGGCATCACTTCAGCATTTGTGCCACAAATCTGGACTCCAGCATACAGACATGCTCTGTAATGGGCCTCCACTATATCTCTCCCATAGGCTTTGTCAGCTCCCACGCCACAGTAGTATGGACCTGTAGAAATATGACAGTTTTTCAAACTATCCAGACTTTGATTCACATTTCCATGCAGGAAACACATTTACACTAATACAGTAAACCTGCTGCTTACCTTGTGGTCCTGGAAATCCATTGGATGGCCAGCCAAAAGGGTGTCCGTCTGTTCCCAGGATAGTGTACTCCTGCTCCATGCCAAACCAGGGATGCTGGTCATCCACCATCTCCATCACCTTCTTACATGTGACACGAAGGTTGGTTTCTGCAGGAAACAAGAAAAAAACGATTAGATGACCAACACTAGTAAAAAAGCCAGTTATAAACTTCCAGTTCATTTGAGTACTTTGGTCTCTAATAGAAGTTATAAAAACTGCTCTAGGGCCCCAGAGCTCTGAAAGTATGAGATGTCCCCTAAAGACACTTAAACTCATGCAAGAGGATCCAGTGAAACTGTAGATTACTACATTAGTTTAAATGTCACTCTGTTTCCTCTGCTCATTTTGCTACAGTCTGCAGTAATGTTGCTAGATCCAGGGCTACTATAGTGATACACACACACACACTTCTACATGCCTCACCCTTTAAATGCCTACATCCGTGTGCATGCACATGACAATGAATGAGTGCATTCATGTGCAAATGAGTGCATTTGTTTTAGTAAGTGTGCAAGCACCTGCTCATATGCAGGTGTGAGTGAAACTGGATGCGTCATTTCCATGTTCAAATAAGGCAAAGAGATTTAATCTCGCATTTCAGGTCACATTAAATGTTTGTTCATGTAGATAAGATAGCAAGTAAGAGTACTGAAAGTAATCTGCATCTATAGTATGACACATTTCTAGTCTCTATAAACTAAGCCCAGCCCCCACCTTGCACTGTCAGACCAGTCTGCTCCATGTTTAATCCTAATCCTACTACAGTTCGACTGTCTCTAAAACATATTTTACAATAGTTTTCTACAAGGGCAATATATTTTGCAACCAAAAGTATTCCATTTATTAAGTCTTAAAAAAAAAAAAAAAAAAAAACCCACACAACTTCACAGATCTGGGCTCTTTGTTACCTGCAGGTTTGCCATTGTACTTCTGCACTTCACACAGGACCAGCTTGTTGGGGTCTTTGCGGAATGGGTCACGGAACATGGCCGCAGGAATCAGATACATGTCGCTGTTGGAGCCCTCAGCTTGGTAGGTACTGGAGCCATCGAAGTTCCATTCAGGCAGATCTACAAGAGGAGGAAGAGGAGGGTGGTTATATATTATAATAATGTAGGACTTTGGGCATCACTGGAAGCGTTTCAGGAAGATTCAGGAGGCTGCTTACCTTCGATGCTTTTGGGCTCAAAATCCAGCGTCCTGGTTTTGCAGCGGAGCCCCTCTCCGGTTCCGTCGATCCAAATGTACATGGCTTGGACTTTATCCCCCTGTGGGAGTTCCATGTACTGCTGCTTTACAGCTTTACTCAGTGTGGCACTGGCGGACGTGGCCATCTTTATTTCCTACTATAATACACCTGAGGAGGGGAGAAGAGATGCAGGTATGAGACCACGGTGCGCTCTGGATCAAATGTTGCGTAACAGGAGTTGGGGGTTGGGGTTGGGGGGTGCGCAGAAAACACAAAAACCACCACCATTGTCTTTTGTTCCAGAAAGGAGAAGGGGGTGAAAACGTGTTGGAGGATGTAAAAGAAGGCGCACTTCTAGCCTTTTCCCTTTCTCCACTTTGGAAACAAAGAGGGAAAAAGGCAACTTGCCACCGCCTGTGCATGACTACAAAGATTTTAAATTTGACGCTCACAAAGATGCATCGTGGAAATCCTCAATACAAACAAACCTGAACAACAACTTCGACATTTCCACTCTGTATCCTGTTACCATTACGCCTGTTGTTGTAGCCATGGTTACAGTGCCCAGAGTGAAGCAATATTACATCATAGGCTTCCTCGTTGTAATCCCCATCACCTACTACCTACTACTAAAAGCCTTATTCAAACATTAAACTCTCATAAGCGCACATCTTAAAACGGACTAAATAATGAGCTGAAGCCAGTGGGGCCATATTAAATGTTAGATTCACACGATGAGCTCTTACCTAACAATGAAAAGTCCGGTAACAGTGAGTACGCGCTGAGCTCCTGCCTAACCTGCTACAATTAAAGTTACCAAAAGCAGCGAGAAAAAAAGAAAGAAAAAATAATTACCTGGAGAAACGAGGAAATTGAAATAAAAACTAAAGGACTGACAGGTCCAGTGTCTTGTCGGTTGATGTCTCACTAGTGGCTCTCTCATTCTCCGGTACCGAAACCTTGGATCCGGCCGGATTTATAAGAGCAGAAACTGGGATGTCGCGTCTTTGATTGGTCGGAGAGACTGCAGCCTGTTTACTCCACGTTGATTGAAGGCACATGCAGCCTGATCATTGGATAGGCTGTAAAACGGAGCTGCAACGCCCTCTAGCAGGAGCTCAGCCGCGTGTTACTATGCGTGACCCTCCTCCACTTGTGTGTGTGTGTGTGTGTGTGTGTGTGTGTGTGTGTGTGCGTGCGTGCGTGCGTGCGTGTGTATCCTCATCCTCACATGTGTTGAGGGATTACAGTCGAACCGAAACAACAATAAGAAAAGAGGCGATCGGGAGCTGTGATGATGATGATGATTTTTCTAAAAAATGAAAAATAATTAAAAAAAACGTGCCTCATTGTTGGAGGAGAGGGACTCAACCGTGTGGGACAAAATGTACAACGTCCTCTCAGCCCCCTCAGCACAAAGCCATTAGGTAGTTCACAGTCCAAGACGCCACCGTGTGGTAGAGTTTAGTTACTGCCAGAGTGTCAGTGTACTGGTTTTAATGGGAGAGGTTATGTAATCCCACTAAGAAACATGACCTGGTGTTGGTTTTTCCCTGGATGCCCACGTGAGCAATTTATGTGACACATGCATCCATAATAATTATAATCGTTTAAACAATCGATGAGATTGTAGAGATGTTTGAGTTTTGGTTTATTAATAGCATAATCGCCACACTTTATTGGTCTAATATAATAACCTAGTGTGTCCAGTGTTTATGTAACATTAGGCCTATGCTGCCCTAATGTTACAAAGACAGAGAGCTGTACTGTAACTAAAGAATGAACTTAAAACTGGTTAAAAGTTACATAAATTAAACTGTGTAGATAAATTGTAAAGTTAAAGCCTTTCTCCAGCACGGACACAGCACTTAAGTCAAGTTGACCCTTTGTCAGGTCCAAGACCAGGACTAGTCTAGACCGAATCCAAATGAGAGAGACAGAGTCAAGAATAAAACACTTTGGTAATTGCTAATGAGATTTAGGCCAGTGTCAGTGTCAGTTGCCTGGTCTAGATGCATTTTGAATTAAACCAACACCTGTTTTCTGAACAAGCACACTTCATCAGTGGTTTTGTTCTGAAGGAGGACGTTATTTCAGAAAAAAAAAAATATATATATATATATATTGCTGGATGCGGTTGAGACCAACTAGAATATTTGCTCAGTCTGAGACAAGTCAGAGCGCGCAGATACCAACGAGTCCAGTCTGAAACAATAGAAAAAAAGACACTCACCACAGCACTGGCTAAAACAAAGTGTGGAGGTCTGGCTATGCGAGACTAAAGGAAAAGAGTCTAAATGAGGTGTTGGGACACCACAAGTGTTCATAACAGTCTATGAACTCACGGTGGTGTCGCTGCCATGTTCCTAAAATATTCTCCCTCATTTGGTGTTTTTATGATGGTGGTGGAGAGTCCTGTTTAACACAGTGTTCCAAAATCTCTGATAAGTGTTCAGCTGGGTGATTGTGAAGGCCATAGCATATGATTCACAATGTTTTCACACTAATTGTCATGGAGGAGACCACTTCCACCAGGATATAAATGTGTCATCGTTGGATAAAAGAGATCCTTCCCTCTGAGGGGACATGTGTTTTTTAATTTTCCCCGATCTGGTCTGGAGATGATGCATTTACCAGGATGACTGCGCCTATATGCACCTATTGTTTTTCCATTAATTTGATGCTATCAGCTGTTTGGGAGACTGATGTAGTCGAGATCTAAACCTTCAAGAGAGCACCGGCCCTGTCTGATGTCTTCGGTGGCTGTGCAGCAACCCGAAATGATCTCGGTTCCAAAGAGCACCTCGGGCCTTATTGCTCAAGAGACCCATTGACCTTGTGGCATTAAGCTTGCTTTGAACTTTTAGGTAACTGTAAGTAAGGGTGATGCTGTGGGGAGGCATGAATGAACAGGTCTGCTGTTGTGGTTACCCTAGACAAGGATGAGGAGACAGTGTAGAGCAGCAGTGGATTGGTAGAGGAAAATACAGACATTGGCCAGTGATGTTCAGAAAACTGATGCCAGCACATCCATGAAAACGTACTTCTCTCACAGAGGTATTGAATGTCACCCGAGGGAGCTCAGCAACCCTCCCACACACATTTATATTCAAAAAGCTTAAATGAAGCGACAGAAGTCCCGTCTCATGTTTTCATGCAGACACTGTTGTGCCAGTCCAACCTTTTTCCTTTTCTTCCCATATCAGACTTTGTGCTGGTACACAATGAACACTTCTCTCGGGATCGTCTGTGGAGACACTGGCTAGGGATCTTATGATGACCTTCCTAGTGCCCCGGGCTAAAATACCCTGCTGCACCATCTGTGTCCCTGCCGAGGCTCTGCAACAGGTTCTGACCAAGAATGTGTTTGCAGTGTACCTTGGTGGGAATCATTAGAGGCAGAAATTAACCACAACTGCAAACATGTATCTTCTGTAGCCTGCAGCCCTCTGGCAAAGGATTCAAAGGGTGAGCAGGACTGGTGCCAAGAGAATTAATTAACAAAATATAAGTATTAATATAAACAGACTCTCCCATGTGTTACAGAATTACGTTTCATTATTTTGGCGTCCACAGTGAATCTATCCGGTGCCCTTTAAACTTTTGTTCTTTGTTTTGATTGGTTCTGGCTCCTTCTTTGTCAAAAGCTTTCCCACATAATGTAACTGGTAATTGAACCTGCATCTGTGATCCACTGAAAACATACATTACATCATGAAATGATCCTCCTGAGCAACCCTCTGCTATTGTTTTGTTTTGCAGTTCCATGGATGTACAGCACCACCTGATGGACTCAGGGCTCCAGAGCAGCAGAGGAAAATGAGGATGGAGTTCCCTGTTTCAGGTTGAACTATTAAGAGACCAGACTTTTATTACGCCTGGAAGGGGAAGTTCCCTCTACCTGCTCTTTACAGGGACAAGTAAGACCAACAGACAAGGTAGAGTTGATTGGAAAGGTTTCTGTTAAATTGATATTATTTTTCATAAAGTTGGGCAACATGTTTGAAATCATGATGTTGATAAAAGAAAATCCTATATCTATAAATATTACGATGTAGCAAATAAATGCAAAGTCACATATAAACCACTGAAACTGAATAATAGTATTTTTACAAAATAATCTGATCTCAAAATCTATTTAGTGTCTTTTTTGGTCTTTTAACCGTGTCTCAGTCTTTATCCTGGTTTTAGTTTGCTCAGTTGTCATTGAGATGGACTGAAGCCAAAAACCAACCGTTAAGCTCCAGGACCGGCTAGTAAATCGACTTTGTGTTGAGATTATTTTACACTATTTTACACTATTTTACCCTTGTACATTAATATTTTAATAACTCATTGCTTATTTTCTTTTAAACAATTTGATTGTAACTATTACTTGTGGATTGTAAAATGGCAGCACAATATGATCATATTATCACCATTTTTCCACAAAACGTCAACAAATATGATCATATTAAATTTTAGCTGAGCCCTAATCATGAAAATATTGTTTTAACTTTAAATGACCTTCCATTTTAAACTGAAGCGCAGTTTGTCAAATACATACAAATAACTCAAGGTCACATTCCCGGTGGACGATAAAGTCACATCTCAAGTGACTTGTCGTTCTCAGTGAAAACATGTTGAGTTTTCACAGCTTAATCATTGTCACATTTGCCTGAAGGCATCACGCAAGCTGCTCCGCCAGTCTGTCGTGAGTTTTCAGTAAATTGTGGACTAATAAAGAGGGAGGGGGCCACTAGTAACCAAAGGTACCTGACTCTCCATGAGACACACAGTATATACCCACATTTATGTGGAGAGTTCCCACCGGTTTTACTTGAAGTGATACCAGACACTTCTACCAGAGTGATGTCTACAAAAGTATGTAGGGGAGATACTTGGGTGCCGATAAAGTGATCATGATCATTTAATTTGTAATCTTTGACCTGCCCTTGACTAGCTGTATCTTTTTTTCATTTTGGTTTGGTTACATTTTTTGACATTAATATATATTCTTGTATGTTTAAAATAGATTATATGATATATATATGTTTGTCTTATTCAAAATGCTTTATGTTTTTAAATGTAGTTTATTGTTTCTTAAAGAAAAGTTTAATTTATATAATGTACCTTTAATTTCTAGATATAGCAAGAAATAAGTTGTAAGCAGAGATACCCTCAAGCATTAAATTAATTAATTAAATTAGTTAACTAAGGGACTGTATGAAAATGATTATGAGGGTTTGTTTTCGATTTTTGCTAAAGGGTGCTGAAATGTTTGGAAGAGTAATGGAGGATCTTTTAAACCCTTTCCCGCCCTATATTTATATTTTTAGTTCACCCTTATCTTTGATTTCATTGTTAGTCACAATCAAATAATCACATTGAAATATTATACCACACAGTTATAAAGCCACATTTTGCTGTGTTTTGCTGTAGAGGACAACAGTCCTGTCTCTGTATTGGGGTTTTTATTTTCCCCATAACAATCAAATAGTAGCTATTAGGACCAATATGAGTTAATGTTAATCTTTCAGCACAATGTCATTCCCAGTTCCTCTGATGGCGATGTTGTGACACACATATCTTTATGAGCATTATTTTCTTTAAGCTCTCTTCATCTGCATAATGAAGGAAAGCACAAGTAGTACTATAATAGTGTAGAAGGTATCCAATGATTTTTGGAAGTCTTAATGTAATCCATAGTTGTTTTTCCAACATGTAGGAATATTTCTTATGTCTGATTTTTTTTCTTTAATGGTAAGTCAATCATGTCAAGTCAGTTTTTAAATGGTGGGAGTGTCTTTTTACTAATAGTGACATCAACAGGATCATTTGATGTGTATGTAACCAGTTCATTCTTCATTATAAAACTAGAGATATTTATCACTATATTTTTAAATTCTGAAATACCTCTCAAACTTCAGGGTCATGAAATGTGCTGTGCTGTCGACATTTCAACCAGAATATGTCAGTGCAGAGTGTGAG